GCTGGTCAGTAGTAGTCCAAATTCAATACGAACGTTTGTTTCTTGAAAATTTGATCACGATTTAAATACAGTATTTATTTTTAATATTACCGATATGTCATCGAAAAGAAAACGTGTATTATCATTAAAAGACAAATTAAAGTATTTGTTTCGATTATCCGGATTTTTCCTTATCCGGACTACCTTCATCCCCAATTAGTCCGGATAATCGAGGTTCTACTGTATTATATAACAATTTAGTGACGGAGCACTACAATAATATATAACACAATATAATTCCAAAAACCACAGATTTAAAAAAATTTGTATACATTATATCCTAGACTATTTATTGCATTAAAATGAAAATCATATCTGGAATAAAGTAAACAATTTTATTTATAATTGTGAGAATTCGAATCCCCCCTTTTTGTTTAAATTAATTTTAACCAAAATGTTGATATTGAAAGTAATATTTTATAATTTTGAAAGAAAAAGCTTTATTTTCCACCAAAAAGAGAAGGAAACCATTAAACCACACTTTCTCTCCAACAGAAGTTGAACATCCTTTTTCTTTTTCCCTTATCTTTAAAAATTTAGTAACCAAACTGAAAGTCAACCACTCTGAATTTCCCCACTCATCCTGTTCACGTGGGAAAATACTACATGCTCATTGGAGAAAATCGGCGAAAAAGAGGATTATTTTTCATTGTTTGAGGAGTGCGTCAGAACTTCTCAATGTAGAAGGATGTATTCCCGTTGAGGCTCCAAAGAACACACCCATACTTGGAGTGTGCCAAAATCTTTCGAAGAGGATGTATTCCAAGTGAGTCTCCTAGACCACACCCAAATCAAGGAGTGTGCCAATGACCTCCTTGTGAGAAGACATATTCCAGGGCAGTCTCCTACAACTGACGCCCAAAATCTTTGAAGGGTCCATCATCAGTTCTACAAGCTACAAGCCGTTTATCAAGTTCCATCTGAAATTCCCAAGATGAAGAAGTAAGGAACCAGGTGATAAAGTCCCTAAGCTTAAACGAACCTTTTCTCGACTCTCAAAGGGAAGACAGCGGGAAAGACCAAATTCCAAAGAACCTGTTTAGGTAGTATAATCTACAATCATTGTAATCTCTCTCTCCCATGAGTTAGGAATTTATCTCATTGTAATCTTGAGTGTTTTAATTTGATCCATTAAACATTTTGTTTTTGTTAATTTTAATATGACTGGAAACCTAAATCTCTGTCCTCCCCAGGTATGACGTCTCTCCAACTTGTAATTCCTCATTATACGTGTGTTAATCCACGGATTAAATTGATTAACTGGTGTCAGGAGAAATTACCAGGGGTTCCCGAGAACAACTGGCCATACTTAAACATATAAAAGGAAGTCATCCATCTGATAAAGTGAGCCGATCTTACGATCTTGTATCAAGTAAGCAGCATAGTCAAAGACTATGTCCCTGACTTCTCACATAATAGTTCAGAATTAAATTATGAGATTTTAATTATAATTATTAACTACATGTCTAATAACTTGTCATGATTTCACTAATCAAATCTGAAATGTTAAATTATATCTTACATAAATGCTAACTGATAAAAAAATAAACTTTTTTATATATTTGTATAAATTCTAAAAAAAATTTAAACTAATTTTTAATAACTCACCCAGTCAATATGAGGTGGAGGACAATTTGTGGCAACTGGTTCCATACAAGATTCACTATACATGCATGTATTACCACACCAAGCACACTGATATTTACGATCTCTTGTTTGACAAAGTGAACAATCTGCACGACCACTATGACTCCCCAAAAGATGGCATTTATATAGAGTAACTATAATTTTAAAAGAAGTTATAATAAAGCTTTATAAATATAATTGTAAAAAATTCATTCTGTATAATTTAACTTTATCATAAATTACCATTTGTTCTATCTATAAATGTATCACCATTCCATAAAACAGTTAATGATGCCTGTAATTCTCCAATTTCTGCTTGATATGTATACTAAAATTCACAAAGTATATTAAGTTAAATATTAATTTTCAACTTAAATTAATTTTACATAAAAAATACATTAAAATATTAGAAGTTCTAAGAAACAGTAATAGAATAACTTAATACTTACTACATTTTCTGCACAAAAGACAGTATTATCACGAATTCTGGCAAATACTCTTTCTTTTGCTCCTTCAATTTCAACAACACACTGAAATCCTTCCTGAAATATTTTTCAACGAAATTAAAATATAATAATAAAAATTTTAAATTTTATTAATAAATTTAAATATTGCATTTTTAATTAATAGAAAAAATATATCATGATAATGTAATAAAAATAAATTAGAGTGGAATTATAAGCTAATGCAAATCTACAAAAATAGTATGCAACATTGAATGAATTTTAAGATAATGTATTCATTTATTGTCTTAAACTTATAATATACAACAGGGTCAGTCCTTAACGACATTCAATGGTCCAAATATATCATATTGCTTTGAGACATTCTGTACTTCTTTTATAATTTCTCTGGAAACAGTATTAGCTTTATAATTCATATTATTAAATAGCTATTTAATCTATGTCGAAAAGTTTTAATAAAAAAAACCTGACAGTAAGACAATAGTTAATGTTGTAATTTTGCCTGATTGTACTAAATTATTGCTAAAATCAATTTGTCAATATATTAATTTTATATTAAGGCAATTATGTTAATTTTAAAATTTATTTTGTCTTCAAGTTGAATTCTTATTTAAAAGAGTATAATGTTATGTAAAATAACATGGTGTAAATTAATAATAATAATAATAATAATAATAAACATCTTTAAAAAAAAGTGAATGGTACTTAAAATGAATTACACATACCACAATATTCTACAGCTAATGCTGCTTAAATTTAACATCTCAAAGCATATGAAATATTTTACTTTTATGAGATTTTAGATTGTTTTGGTAATATACCTAAAACACTTTGACTGTATAACTGTTTTTCCATAAGAAATTCACTTCCACTCAAATATTTCATGTCAATATGTGAGTAAGTCAGGGAATAAGTGAACATCTCTTAAGTGACCAGTTGTAATTTTCCTAATTGTTCCCTAGACAATAATAAGTGTCTGATTAATTTACTGTTATCAAATTTTACTCCTGGAAGCAAAGTTAAGTGAACAAAACTAGCAAGAATGCAAAATTTTCTAGAAATCCTGGAATTGTGAAATAAAAAGCAATTGGTGTTTGTCTCATTACAGCAGCAGACAACTTGTCATTTGTACTTATGAATGTAAGCATCATTTATCATATATAAAACAAATCAAGGAGCCATGATTTGTCAACAAAATTACAATTTCTTGATGATTTACAAGAAAAAATCTTATCATCATCATCTTAGTAGTAGTGTGAACCTTTGAGGTTCTGTGCTGCAGATACATCTTTCTCAAGTTCTTTCTGTCTACTGCAATGATTCTCCAGTTGAGTAATCTTAATAGTTTTGTCATCTGTTTCTCCAACCATCTTTTTTTGTGACTGTCCTTGAGTCCATGTCCAATCTTTGGATGTAGACAAATTTTGGTAATCAGTCTGGGTTTATTCTTTGAACATAACTGAGCAATATAATTTGATTGGCTTTAAACTTCCTGTTATATATGTGACACTACATAATTGATGTATTTCTGAGATATTGAACAGCAACAAACTGAGACAAAAAAAAAAAAAAAAACAAAAACAAAAATATTTATCCAAAATTTTACACTTAAAAAGTAGGAAAAGTAAGACAATTGGGAACTCTGCAATAATAGTTTAACTACTGCCAATCTGTATATATTACCATATTATTTTCAAATTATTAATGAGTAAATTATAAATACTAATATTACAATAATCACAATATTCTAGCAGTATTTATTAAAATAATGTTGTCTTATTAATAGAATAGTTGTTATGTTGGGTGTAGTGGGTTATACTCAGCTGCCACCAGTTGCTGTGTATTATGCTGGATCACAGATAAGGCATAGCAACCAAAACAAAACAATAATTAAATAAGTGTATCAATCTGTGCATCTGTATTCAGGAATTTCCTAACAATATGTCATGTATTCAATATAGTGTTCTTCTGTAGTGTTGTGGCTGTACGCCTTTTTGTTGTGTATAGTTTTAGGTTTAATTTATATTTTATTCTATGAATTTATTCTTCCTTCCAATTTTCTTTGTTCCTTTGTCTCGAACCTCCAAGAAATGTGACTTACCCCTAGCCACCAGGAGGTAGGGGAGAGACAATAGAGGGTGATGAGGCTGGAGGGAAAAGGAGAGACATTCGAGTGAACATTCTTGGGCTGAACACAAGAGGCAACGGACGTGTGGCTGCAAGGCTTGTAAGTGAAATCCGACGAGAACTGTAAAGAAAGGGAGACCGTAGAGAATGGATCAAGAAAGAGTAGATCAATAGACCTGAGAAGAACCCTCAGAAAGCCAATCTGCAATAGAATAAAACATCTGAGACTCGGAAGTCGAGATGAAGAAATACTTGGAATACTTGCCGATAAATTGGGTACCCCTATCCTACAACTCTTCTTACTTCCCCTTATTTCTATCCTCTTCCTATTAGATTTAAGTTCAATTGAGATTTACGCACGTTAATTAAGTGTTATTGTCGGGTAGTAGTTGTAACGGAACATAACTACACGGGTTACTGTTATGATAGGAACACCAAGTATAATTGGAAGAGTGTAACAAAACAGAGGAAATCTGCAAATAATTTGTTGATATTGATTTATCGTAAAATTAAATTTGTTTTAATTGATTAACACGTGTGCTTTTCTTTTTGCATTATAAGTCTTACAGTGTGATGTGTATATTTCTATTCAACTGTAATGTTCCCAGGCTTTTTCATAGTGTGTATGGACACCTGTAGAAGACAGGACAGCAGGTACAATATGAACCTTATCAATCCTCCACAGATTTCCTATTTCATAGGTAAGTCTTGTGTTCATGCGTACTTGCTGATTTTTTCAGTGCATGTGTTTTGTTGTGGCTGTCGGCCATATTAATGTATATATTTTTGTTAATCATTATATTTTAGGCTTAGTATTTCCTTTGTTCTTTGTCTTCACTATTCTAGAACTTTCTTTCTTAATCCCTTTTCCCTCGGGTGGAATCACCAGTTCTTAGAAATAACATAGAGAAACAAAAGGAGCAATGGGACCCAAGGAGTTTGAAAGTGCAGGAAGGGCAGTTGTGATCTGGAGTTCGTTGAGAGAGGAAGGCAGAAGTGTCGTTCTCCTAATCATGTAGAGACCGATTAGAAGTGACGAGGCCTTGATAAGGCAGTTTTGGGAAGAGAGACCAGTGAGTGAGGTCAGATTAGCGCTCCAAATCTTGAACAAAGAGATTGGGGGCTAAGAACTATTACGACTAAGGTCAAAGCTCTCCTGTTAAGGATTCTTAGTGAGAGATTTCTGAGGATACTTCAGAAAAGATATCCTAAGAGGACAGAGAGAAAATAGGAAGAATAGCAGAAATTAGACGAATATCACAGGACAGTGATCCATCCAAGATCAAGTAGCTGAGAGTTCCCAGGTATTTCTTCCTTCCTCTACTATTTCTATTTCTATATTCTATTTCTATTACTATTTCCCAGGTATTTCTTCCTTACTCTTCTTTCATCCTTACTCATCTATCTTCCTCCTTTTCCTTAGTTTGTAAGTAGATTTAGTTATAGTTGTAAGTCTCCTTGCATAAAATTTTGTCGCAACTCAATCATTCTAATTGCTAAGACTGAAATGTATGGTTACTGTATATATGTGAATATATATGTGGCCTGTAAGTTGGGATCACTAAAATAAGAACCATTCAAAGCATATAAAATTGATCTGTAGTACATAAATATTTCTGTGTTGCATCTCTTTTATGTTTTCCTGTTCGCAGAACTACATAACCTTCGCTACAAACATCACATTGTACATTGTGAGTGTTTGGAATGGTTGTCTATAACATATGTGATTTTATTGTGTTTGTCAATGAGTGTGATATCTGATCTGTTAGTAAATTGTTTTATCTGTGATTATGGCTCTGTCATAGTACATTTTGTGTGTTGTTTTCCAATACTGTCTGTGGAATGTATTTAAAGTATAGTTTGTGCATGTCTAATAATTTGTGTTTATTTGCAAGCTCTTGGTTTATTATATTTGCTACTTGATTATGTCTATGTAAATAATCTCTCTGTGCCAAGAGCTTGCAACCAGAAGTGATGTGTTGTATAGTTTCTGGCATGATGTGACATTTTCTGTATGTGTCATTTGTGAGTGTTGTATCTTTGAGTATGTTTTCTGTCGTTTTTAGTATTTATGACCTGATCCTGTATGGCAATCATGAACTCTTCTGTCTACCCAAAGAGGTATCCCCAAACTAACCAGCTGTTTGACAGAGTTTTGTCAATAAAATCCTGGGCCAGGTCATAAAGTTGTCTGCCATGGAGTGCCTTTCGAGCCCATGATTGCTTAATTTGTCTATGCTTTTTATATGTTATGTTGTATCCATATGATGTAAGTATAAGTTTAATGGTGTGTTATTTAAGTCTGCTAGAGAAACTGCTTTATGTAACTGTGATGTTTCTTGTTTTTTGTAGAAAAACTCTTGTAGTGTCTGTATTTGTTTATAGTGAAGGTTTGTCAATCAGGCCACGTCCACCATTTTTACATGGAAGAGTTAATCTTTCTATGGCAGATTTAAGATGATGTCATTTATGCTTAGTTAAGTGTTGTTCTTGTTTTCCTTTAGAGTTGCTCAAGATCTGTGTGAGTACAATGTATAACTCCAAAAGAATAAGTGAATACTGGGACAACATATGTTTATTGCTTTAACTGTATGTTTTGCATTTAATTCTGTTCTGAGAATAGCATTTAACTTACTTTGATATTCTTTAATTAATCTTTGCTTTATTTGTGTATGTTCTGTTAGTTTGGACTGTTGGAATCCTAAATACTTATAGTACTTCCGTGGATTCAATAACATCTCCATTTCCAAGTGCAAAATGTCCTTTCTTCAGGACTCCTTTTTCTATGCAAAGTGTTTTGCATCTGTCTAGGCCAAACTCCATTTATATATCCTTGGTATATGAATGTGTGATGTGTAGAAGCTGATGAAGTTGTTTTTGAGTGTTGCATAAAGTTTTATGCCATCCATGTACATGAGATGTGACAATGTAAATTATGTTGTTTTTTCTTA